GCAGGCATATAACAGACGGGGAGGTATATAACAGACGGGGAGGCATATAACAGACGGGCAGGCATATAACAGACGGGGAGGTATATAACAGACGGGGAGGCATATAACAGACGGGCAGGCATATAACAGACGGGGAGGTATATAACAGACGGGCAGGCATATAACAGACGGGCTGGCATATAACAGACGGGGAGGCATATAACAGACGGGGAGGCATATAACAGACGGGGAGGCATATAACAGACGGGGAGGCATATAACAGACGGGGAGGCATATAACGGACGGGCAGGCATATAACAGACGGGGAGGCATATAACAGACGGGCAGGCATATAACAGACGGGGAGGCATATAACAGACGGGCAGGCATATAACAGACGGGGAGGCATATAACAGACGGGCAGGCATATAACAGACGGGGAGGCATATAACAGACGGGCAGGCATATAACAGACGGGCAGGCATATAACAGACGGGCAGGCATATAACAGACGGGCAGGCATATAACAGACGGGCAGGCATATAACAGACGGGGAGGCATATAACAGACGGGCAGGCATATAACAGACGGGCAAGCATATAACAGACGGGCAGGCATATAACAGACGGGGAGGCATATAACAGACGGGGAGGCATATAACAGACGGGCAGGCATATAACAGACGGGCAGGCATATAACAGACGGGGAGGCATATAACAGACGGGCAGGCATATAACAGACGGGCAGGCATATAACAGACGGGCAGGCATATAACAGACGGGGAGGCATATAACAGACGGGCAGGCATATAACAGACGGGGAGGCATATAACAGACGGGCAGGCATATAACAGACGGGCAGGCATATAACAGACGGAGAGGCATATAACAGACGGGCAGGCATATAACAGACGGGCAGGCATATAACAGACGGGGAGGCATATAACAGACGGGCAGGCATATAACAGACGGGGAGGCATATAACAGACGGGCAGGCATATAACAGATGGGCAAGCATATAACAGACGGGCAGGCATATAACAGACGGGGAGGCATATAACAGACGGGGAGGCATATAACAGACGGGCAGGCATATAACAGACGGGCAGGCATATAACAGACGGGGAGGCATATAACAGACGGGCAGGCATATAACAGACGGGGAGGCATATAACAGACGGGGAGGCATATAACAGACGGGGAGGCATATAACAGACGGGCAGGCATATAACAGACGGGCAGGCATATAACAGACGGGGAGGCATATAACAGACGGGGAGGCATATAACAGACGGGGAGGCATATAACAGACGGGCAGGCATATAACAGACGGGGAGGCATATAACAGACGGGGAGGCATATAACAGACGGGGAGGCATATAACAGACGGGGAGGCATATAACAGACGGGCAGGCATATAACAGACGGGGAGGCATATAACAGACGGGGAGGCATATAACAGACGGGGAGGTATATAACAGACGGGGAGGCATATAACAGACGGGCAGGCATATAACAGACGGGCAGGCATATAACAGACGGGGAGGTATATAACAGACGGGGAGGCATATAACAGACGGGCAGGCATATAACAGACGGGGAGGCATATAACAGACGGGGAGGCATATAACAGACGGGGAGGCATATAACAGACGGGGAGGCATATAACAGACGGGGAGGCATATAACAGACGGGGAGGTATATAACAGACGGGGAGGCATATAACAGACGGGGAGGCATATAACAGACGGGGAGGCATATAACAGACGGGCAGGCATATAACAGACGGGCAGGCATATAACAGACGGGGAGGCATATAACAGACGGGCAGGCATATAACAGACGGGCTGGAATATAACAGACGGGGAGGCATATAACAGACGGGCAGGCATATAACAGACGGGGAGGCATATAACAGATGGGGAGGCATATAACAGACGGGCAGGCATCTAACAGACGAGCAGGCATATAACAGACGGGGAGGCATGTAACAGACGGGCAGGCATCTAACAGACGAGCAGGCATATAACAGACGGGGAGGCATGTAACAGACGGGGAGGCATATAACAGACGGGGAGGCATATAACAGACGGGGAGGTATATAACAGACGGGCAGGCATATAACAGACGGGGAGGTATATAACAGACGGGCAGGCATATAACAGACGGGGAGGCATGTAACAGACGGGCAGGCATCTAACAGACGAGCAGGCATATAACAGACGGGGAGGCATGTAACAGACGGGGAGGCATATAACAGACGGGGAGGTATATAACAGACGGGGAGGCATATAATAACGGGAAGGCTCCGTCGTCCTTAGTACTGGTGTCTCGTGTTACTCTTTATGTATATTACGCTTTAATAGATGAACATATTTACATAATATTTACTTATGGGCCGTGGTCTCTAGAGGACACTCGACGAGGTCTGGAAGCATGCGGGTTGTCAAAGGTCTCCCCCCCCCTGTCTAAATTATCCTCGCCCACAGACACGAAAAATTTTTGTGACGTAATCTTCGTCGAGCTGAGACCGTTCATGACAGTATAAGGTCAATATAAAATATTAATACTCAAGTGTGTTGCATCAGGTAAGACACAGGCACACGCCAGCAACACTGGATGTTGCATCAGGTAAGACACAGGCACACACCAGCAACACTGGATGTTGCATCAGGTAAGACACAGGCACACGCCAGCAACACTAGATGTTGCATCAGGTAAAACACAGGCACATACCAGCAACACTAGATGTTGCATCAGGTAAAACACAGGCACATACCAGCAACACTGGAGGGGACCAACCAACACAATTGTGTTATGGTAATTTCATTGACCAAGGCATAACTTCGTTACTTACGGAGTAACCTGATCATAGAGTGGAGGCCGGATCAAGGCTACAGGATCCCGGGTTCTGCCTTGTTGTGGTCGCTATAGCGTCTTTCTGTGTGGCCAGCACTCGTGGGTGCTGGCCACACCAGTGGTGTCTGGTGCTTCCAAGACGGTGTGGCCCTTAACACCACTGGTGTCTGGTGTTTCCTGGACGGTGTGGTCCTTAACACCACTGGTGTCTGGTGTTTCCTGGACGGTGTGGTCCTTAACACCACTGGTGTCTGGTGTTTCCAGGACGGTGTGGCCCTTAACACCACTGGTGTCTGGTGTTTCCAGGACGGTGTGGTCCTTAACACCTCTGGTGTCTGGTGTTTCCTGGACGGTGTGGCCCTTAACACCTCTGGTGTCTGGTGTTTCCAGGACGGTGTGGCCCTTAACACCACTGGTGTCTGGTGTTTCCAAGACGGTGTGGCCCTTAACACCTCTGGTGTCTGGTGTTTCCTGGACGGTGTGGCCCTTAACACCACTGGTGTCTGGTGTTTCCAAGACGGTGTGGTCCTTAACACCACTGGTGTCTGGTGTTTCCTGGACGGTGTGGCCCTTAACACCTCTGGTGTCTGGTGTTTCCTGGACGGTGTGGCCCTTAACACCACTGGTGTCTGGTGTTTCCAAGACGGTATGGCCCTTAACACCACTGGTGTCTGGTGTTTCCTGGACGGTGTGGCCCTTAACACCACTGGTGTCTGGTGTTTCCAGGACGGTGTGGCCCTTAACACCACTGGTGTATGGTGTTTCCAAGACGGTGAGGCCCTTAACACCACTGGTGTCTGGTGTTTCCAGGACGGTGTGGCCCTTAACACCACTGGTGTCTGGTGTTTCCAGGACGGTGTGGCCCTTAACACCACTGGTGTCTGGTGTTTCCAAGACGGTGAGGCCCTTAACACCACTGGTGTCTGGTGTTTCCAGGACGGTGTGGCCCTTAACACCACTGGTGTCTGGTGTTTCCAAGACGGTGTGGCCCTTAACACCTCTGGTGTCTGGTGTTTCCTGGACGGTGTGGCCCTTAACACCACTGGTGTCTGGTGTTTCCAAGACGGTGTGGCCCTTAACACCACTGGTGTCTGGTGTTTCCAAGACGGTGAGGCCCTTAACACCACTGGTGTCTGGTGTTTCCAGGACGGTGTGGCCCTTAACACCACTGGTGTCTGGTGTTTCCTGGACGGTGTGGCCCTTAACACCTCTGGTGTCTGGTGTTTCCTGGACGGTGTGGCCCTTAACACCACTGGTGTCTGGTGTTTCCAGGACGGTGTGGCCCTTAACACCACTGGTGTCTGGTGTTTCCTGGACGGTGTGGCCCTTAACACCACTGGTGTCTGGTGTTTCCTGGACGGTGTGGCCCTTAACACCTCTGGTGTCTGGTGTTTCCTGGACGGTGTGGTCCTTAACACCACTGGTGTCTGGTGTTTCCTGGACGGTGTGGCCTTTAACACCACTGGTGTCTGGTGTTTCCTGGACGGTGTGGTCCTTAACACCACTGGTGTCTGGTGTTTCCTGGACGGTGTGGCCCTTAACACCACTGGTGTCTGGTGTTTCCTGGACGGTGTGGCCCTTAACACCACTGGTGTCTGGTGTTTCCAAGACGGTGTGGTCCTTAACACCACTGGTGTCTGGTGTTTCCTGGACGGTGTGGCCCTTAACACCACTGGTGTCTGGTGTTTCCTGGACGGTGTGGCCCTTAACACCACTGGTGTCTGGTGTTTCCAGGACGGTGTGGCCCTTAACACCACTGGTGTCTGGTGTTTCCTGGACGGTGTGGTCCTTAACACCACTGGTGTCTGGTGTTTCCTGGACGGTGTGGCCCTTAACACCACTGGTGTCTGGTGTTTCCAAGTCAAACAGAATAATCAACACCTGTGTTCCAGGTTTAAGTGTCATTCAGCTTTCTTTCTCTGCCAAATTTATAATAATATTATAACAATCCAGTCTTTCCATGAAGGAAATGCAATAGGCAGATGACAGCCACTAGTCCAGTATGACTATATTCACCCCCGAGGTGTGAGGACAGTGGAAGAGCGGGCACAGGAGGGTGTTGGCAAGGTACACGTCAATAGATAGTTTTATAAGGAAAGGTGATGAACCATCGAGGGATCGAGCGCAGACCTGCAAGAAGTATAAGGTCGTCGTTATACCGCGATGGCTTATATGAAGGTT